AGTAATTCATCCCCCATATAGTAATTCATTCCCCATATTGTGTGAATTCACTTACCTTTGCTCCGCGCGTTCCTCTCGCTGGGTTCCCGCGCCGTTCTGGTCTTCAGGGCAGACTGTGAGAGGAGAGGAGTTCGTCACGCTGCCCCGCCTACATCCGGGCTGCCCCGCCTACATCCTGACAGCCAATGTTTGCCAGCGGGCGCCCGGCACACAGAAGAGCTGCATTAAAAGAGCCGCGGCTTGCCGACCCTATTGCCTGTCACCTGGTGGGCAGTGTGCTCCGGAGCCGCAGGAAAGGTGAAAAAAGCCCGCATGCGGCTCCGCAGCCGCGGGTTGCCGACACCCGGTATAGTATATCTTTGATTGTGTGTACCAGTATCCATTCTTCACCAGTCTTTTGCGTTTTGTGTTAATATATATATATAATTTTTGTACATAAATAAATTTATATATTTATTTATTATAAGGCAATTTTTGTGTGTATGGTACGAAATCATACTGGCTAAAAGGACTCGAGGTATATTTAATAAGTGGTGATCAAATTATCAAGGTGTCCAAACTATTGGTTCATTAAATATTTGCCGTATTTTAACGGCTGGAGGCACTGTAATATTTTATCTAAGGGAAAGAGACACCCCATTCATAAGTAGAATAAATCCTTACATAAACCACCACAGGGAGAAAGCCAGGAAAATGCAGGAAATGGTGTTCAGGTTAGGGGGGAGTGGCATCGTGACAGTCGGATGGTGTTTGGTACTGTCGTGATCGGGCTGACGCGCTGGGGTCGGAAATCTATGCCCCGACTTGGTGTTCAGGTTAGGGGGCGTGGGCATCGTGACAGTCGGATGGTGTTTGGTACTGTCGTGATCGGGCTGACGCGCTGGGGTCGAAAATCTATGCCCCGACTTGGTGTTCAGGTTAGGGGGCGTGGCATCGTGACAGTCGGATGGTGTTTTGGTACTGTCGTGATCGGGCTGACGCGCTGGGGTCGGAAATCTATGCCCCGACTTGGTGTTCAGGTTAGGGGGCGTGGCATCGTGACAGTCGGATGGTGTTTGGTACTGTCGTGATCGGGCTGACGCGCTGGGGTCGGAAAATCTATGCCCCGACTTGGTGTTCAGGTTAGGGGGCGTGGCATCGTGACAGTCGGATGGTGTTTGGTACTGTCGTGATCGGGCTGACGCGCTGGGGTCGGAAATCTATGCCCCGACTTGGTGTTCAGGTTAGGGGGCGTGGCATCGTGACAGTCGGATGGTGTTTGGTACTGTCGTGATCGGGCTGACGCGCTGGGGTCGAAAATCTATGCCCCGACTTGGTGTTCAGGTTAGGGGGCGTGGCATCGTGACAGTCGCATGGTGTTTGGTACTGTCGTGATCGGGCTGACGCGCGGCTGGGGTCGGAAATCTATGCCCCGACTTGGTGTTCAGGTTAGGGGGCGTGGCATCGTGACAGTCGGATGGTGTTTGGTACTGTCGTGATCGGGCTGACGCGCTGGGGTCGGAAATCTATGCCCCGACTTGGTGTTCAGGTTAGGGGGCGTGGCATCGTGACAGTCGGATGGTGTTTGGTACTGTCGTGATCGGGCTGACGCGCTGGGGTCGGAAATCTATGCCCCGACTTGGTGTTCAGGTTAGGGGGCGTGGCATCGTGACAGTCGGATGGTGTTTGGTACTGTCGTGATCGGGCTGATGCGCTGGGGTCGGAAATCTATGCCCCGACTTGGTGTTCAGGTTAGGGGGCGTGGCATCGTGACAGTCGGATGGTGTTTGGTACTGTCGTGATCGGGCTGACGCGCTGGGGTTGGAAATCCATGCCCCAACTTGGTGTTCAGGCCAGTCTTGGCACAATTGAACTTGGGCAGGTCCACACACGGTACCTCTTGTAGGCAGGTCAGGACCACCTCCCCCAGGTCAATTGGCCAAAGACTAATGTCCCGCCCATGTCCAAATCCCAATAAATTGGGTACATGGACATTTGGACATTGGTGATCCGTACGGAGCTGGTTCAAATGACCAATGGATTGATAAGTTTCTGGCTTGCTCCAGTCGCAGGGTAAAGTGTTATTCTGTCTTTTTATTCCCTTTTTATTTTATAGTAATTAGTCATTTGTGTGTCTTCTTATATCTTTTGCATTTTCTGTAACTTTTTATATTTTGTACATATTTTATGCACCGCCCACTTTGGGAAATTAAATCTTAAATTAATTAGTGAACTTCTGTGTATTTAAGCACGTGCTCATATCTTCAGAGAGATTAGATCGGCGAGATTAGATTGGAGAGATTAGATTGTATTGTATTTTAGTGCCTTTAAAACGCTCTGTTAAGCTCATTGCCAATCTGTATGCAACTGCACTGCGAGTGGGCAGATTGCAAAGGTAACAGATCGGCCAGACGGAGATCTGTGTGTGTGTGGTGTCTCGACAGACCATTGTGCGGATAAAACTGTTGGGTGGTGGCAGGCTACCTTTGTGGTGTGTCTGGTGCAGGGGAGTGTGGACAGTGGAAGGGTTATCAACACCGGGGTTCAAGCAAGGATAGCTGGAGGGACCTTAGAAGGGTGTGTGATTACTAAACTGGTCCTCAACTATAATCAGGGCACCAGGCTGTATGTAAGATCGTATCTGCCAGTGTGTGGTCGACCAACTGGATTGGAGTGGAGTCTCCATCTGGTGGCGGCCAGAGGTAGTGTGGGCTGTGAAAAGGTATCACGTCTGATCTTATGTACGGTTTTAGATATTCAAGTGTAAATCCCCTTTATTCCCCCTCTTTACCACCCTGTCACGGCCACATGTGCATGTCTCGGTTAGCTTAGTCGCTGTGGGCGTGGCGTGTGGTGGACACGTGACAGGGTGATCATTGACAGATCCTTGGTGGGAGTGGAGGTGACCCCTCTATAAGGATCTACGGGGAGGAGTTGATGATAATATATTTGCTCCCAAAGCTGGCCTACATGGTTCAGTTTTATCGTTCAGCCAGCGGGATGACCATAAAAACTGAAGTGATTCCCCCATCCACACATTGGAGGTGGATGGGGGAATCCTCCCCGCTGCACTCTTGTATTCTGACAATGGGGGGACTCCTCCGCTCTCAGAATACACAGATCAGCACTGAAGCTATTGGCTGCAGCCGCTGGGGGAGTGGCTTTTATCCGGCAGTGGCCACACATGGATGGAAATGTGAGCGATCCCTGCTGAACCAGCTGAATTTCCATGGATCTATGGTCACCTTCAGTGACTTCCTCCCCTCCCCCTCATCTCCTTCATGATGGAAGTCATGCTGAGATCATCTCCCATTGGCTGAGCAATATTCTCATTTGTCTCTCAGCTCCTTCTTGCTATTCCTCGTCCTGCCTGTTGTTTCCTTGGATTGATTTTCTGTGTAGTGACCCCGCTTTGGTCTCTTGGATGCGCTCGTCTGTTGCTTGCCCTGACCTTTCTCCTGATTCCTGGATCTCCTCCTCATCTCTCTCTCCATATCCTCTTACACAGCTTTTCTCCACACCTGCAGTGACCCTGGGGGGAGGAAACTTGGCACCAGCACGCCGCCAAATCCATCCCCACCATTAGGGGCTCTGGAGACAATTGTCTGCTATTTACACTCCGTTCCTCCGCACGTCACCTGATCACATGACAGCTTACTTCCACAGATTCCGGACAGATTCTGGATGGTAAAGGTCAAAGGTCACTCTTCAGTTTAGGAGAGGTAGGACGCACCCAGGAACAAGGATTTGGTTTTCATGGGAGCCTCATATAGAGGACCCCTCAAATCTCCCCCATCCAAATGTCCCTCCATCCAGAGTCTATCTGTCCTATGACATCACACTGACCTCACAGACCTCCTCCCAATGTCCCTCCATCCAGAGTCAGAGAATCCTATGACATCACACTGACCTCACAGCCTCCTCCCAATGTCCTCCATCCAGAGTCAGAGAATCCTATGACATCACACTGACCTCACAGCTCCTCCTCCCCAATGTCCCTCCATCCAGAGTCAGAGAATCCTATGACATCACACTGACCTCACAGCTCCTCCTCCCAATGCCCTCCTCCCCATCAATGTCCCTCCTCCTCCAATGTCCCTCCATCCAGAGTCAGAGAATCCTATGACATCACACTGACCTCACAGCTCCTCCTCCCCAATGTCCCTCCATCCAGAGTCAGAGAATCCTATGACATCACACTGACCTCACAGCCTCACAGCTCCTCCTCCCAATGTCCCTCCATCCAGAGTCAGAGAATCCTATGACATCACACTGACCTCACAGCTCCTCCTCCCAATGTCCCTCCATCCAGAGTCAGAGAATCCTATGACATCACACTGACCTCACAGCTCCTCCTCCCAATGTCCCTCCATCCAGAGTCAGAGAATCCTATGACATCACACTGACCTCACAGCTCCTCCTCCCAATGTCCCTCCATCTGGCTTTTTTCTGATGCTCTTAGGATGTGGGGGTGGGGCCCTTGGTATCCTCACATGTAAAGTGGGACTGTTGGTCCTGCGTTGTATGTAATGACATCAGAATGCTGCAACAAGCCTATACCCTGCGTAGTGTGGGGGTCCTGTGGGGGGGAATTATACCTCAGCCTGAAGTGGGGCTTTAATAAAATGGAGACCTGAATGGAGAGGTGAGGAGGATTCTGGGAATATCATTTGATGTGACTATTTGTGTTCAGATGTAGAGTTTTCCTCCTGTGAAGTCTGGAGATCATATGACATCACATTGCCTCCACCTCCCTCCCTGATAGAAGAGAGAAAGAAGAAGAAGATTCTAGAAGTCACCAGAGAGATCACTGAGCTGCTGACAGGAGAGGTGAGCGGTGCCGGGAATTCTGGGACATTCTCCAGTAACAGACAAGGGATGTGTCTGGATGGTGACTGTATCATTGTGTGTGTCAGGTTCCTATAAGGTGTCAGGGTGTCACTGTCTATTTCTCCATGGAGGAGTGGGAGTATTTAGAAGGACACAAGGATCTCTACAAGGACGTCATGATGGACAATCAGCCGCCCCTCACATCACCGGGTAAGAGGAGACTTTATTGTAAAGGAGAGAGCAGTACGGAGGATCCACCTAGATCCCCCATCATCTGATAAACACATAGAAACAATGGATTCAGTCAGTGTGTGTGTTTCCTACAGATGGATCCAGTCATGGGAACCCACCAGAGAGATGTCCCCGTCCTCTGTATTCCCGGGATTCCACACAGGAAGGTACACACCATCCCTCACCATCATCAGGTAGATGAGGAACAATCACTGATAGTATCATTAGGATCTGTACATTATCTGCATTGTTACCATTGATGTCATTTTTATTATATATTCAGAGTGGAAACCTGAGAGATCCTAAAGTTGAGGTTAAAGAAGAGATAAAAGAGGAGGAGGAGAGGATGGGGGGATGGAGGAGTCAGAGATTCATAAAGAACACAAAGATCTGTACCAGGACACCATGGTGGAGTCATCCAGCTACAGGAACCCACCAGAGAGATGTCCCCGTCCTCTGTATTCCCGGGATTCCACACAGGAAGGTCACACCATCCCTCACCATCATCAGGTAGATGATGACAATTATTGGTAGTTGTGATTTATACACAGCATGTTTGTTACAATGAATGTTTTATTATATCTTTCAGAGTGGAATCCTCGGGGATGATAATATTGTTGTTAAAGAAGAGTATAAAGAGGAGGATGAGGAGTATGGAGTGATGGAGGAGTTTTCAGAAGGACACAAGGATATGATGGAGCCACCTAATACCAGGAACCCACCAGAGAGTTGGGGCAGGGAGTTCCAGAGGATGGGTGACACCCTGGAGAAGTCGTGGAGGCGGGCATGGGAGGAGGAGACCCGGGAACTAGAGAGAAGGAGGTCCTGTGAGGAGCGGAGTGTGCGTGCTGGGTGGTACTTGGATATTAGGTCAGTGATGTAGTTCGGGGCAGTATGGTGGACGGCTTTGTACGTCAGTGTTAGGATTTTGAATTTGATCTGTTGCGCAATCAGAAGCCAGTGGAGGGATTGGCAGAGGGGGGGGTGGCGGAGATGGAGCGGTTGGTGAGGTGAATGAGTCTGGCAGCCGTATTCAGGATGGACTGAAGCGGGGATAGCCAGCGGCGAGGCAGGCCAGTGAGGAGGGAGTTGCAGTAGTTGAGTTGTGATATGATGAGGGAGTGGATGAGCTGTTTAGTGGTTTCTGGGTTAGGAACGTGCGGATTTTGGCGATGTTGTGGAGGTGGAGTCTGCATGAGTTTGTTAGTGATTGGACTTGGGGCTGGAAGGATAGGTTGGAGTCCAGAATGACACCAAGTACTCTGGCCTGCGGGGCGGGTTTGATGGTGGCGTTGTTGGATGCGATGGAGAAGGTCAATGGGGGGTGGTGTCCGGGCTGGGAGGGAAGACAAGAAACTCGGTTTTGGAGAGGTTCAGTTTTAAGAAAGTGGAGTGACATCCAGTCTGATATGTCGCTCAACAGGTGTGTGATTCAGGCGGAGACCGAGGGGGTGAGGTGGGGGGTTGAGTGAGATAGATTTGTGTGTCGTCGGCATAGAGTGGTAGCAACTTGAAGCCGTGAGAGTGTATGAGTTGGCCAAGGGAGGAGGTTGTAGATGGAGAAGAGAAGGGGGCCGAGGACGGAACCTTGAGGGACCCCAAAGAGAGGGGGAGTGAAGGGGGAGGTGGTAGCATTATAGGTAACGCTGAAAGAGCGTTGTGACAGGTTGGATGGAGCCAGGAGAGGCAGAATCTCTGAGGCGAGGGAGTGTAGTTTTTTGAGGAGGAGGGGGGGCGGGAACGACTGTGTCGAAGGCCGCAGAGAGGTCAAGGAGTAGGAGCACTGAATAGTGGCCATTAGCTTTGGGGGTTAGAGGTCGTTGGAGAGTTTGAGTAAGGCGGTTTATGTGGAGTGTAGGGGACAGAAGCCGGACTGTAGGGGATCAAGGAGGTTGTTGAGGTGAGAGCTTAGGCGGGAGTAGACTAGGGCTCGAGGAGTTTGGATGTGAATGGGAGCAGGGAGATGGGTCTGAGGTTGTTCGGGTCATTGGGATCCAGGGAGGCTTTTTTAAGTATGGGGGTGATGTGTGCAATGTTTGAGGGGAGGGGGGAAAGTGCCGGAGGAGAGGGAGAGATTAAAAGATATGGGTGAGGGAGCGTAGGATGGGAGGGGAGGGAGGTCGTAGGAGTTGTGAGGGGACAGGGTCGAGATGGGCAGGTGGTGAGGAGGGCATCAGAGAGGACCTTGGAGACTTCCTCGATGGTAGTAAGGTCAAAAGTGTGAAGTGTTGGGGGGGCTTCAGTATGAGGAATGTATGGTGGGGGGGGAAGTGGAGGTCAGAGCAGTGGTTGGGGCCGTGAGAGAGGGGGGATGATGGGGGTAGCTGAGTGAGGGGGAAAATGGGTTGGAGGAGGAGTTTGAGCAGTGACGAAGTACCTGCGGGGGGAGTCGGTGGGGGAGGGGGAGAGGGGGGAGGAGGTGTGCTGTGTGAGATGGGGACGGGTTGATAGAGGGCGTGTGAGTTGCGGCGTATGTCCTTACGAATTGTGTCAATCTTGTTTTTGAAGTGATTGGCAATCTCAAGGGCGGTGAGTGAGGTGGGGTGGGGGTGGAGAGAGTAGAGAGTTGAAGGTGGAGAAGGGCGGTGTGGCGAGGATTGGAGGAGAGGGGGTTGATGAGGGTCAGGTATGTAGGCTTGTTTGACTGCGTGGAGGGAGGGAGTGTAGGTGTGGAAGGCAGATTTGGACAGCGGGTGAAGGCTTGTGGGATTTGGTTTTGCGCCATAGTCGCTCCAGGGCACGACTGTGTCGTTTTGAGGGTTTTTTGGTGTGATCAGTCTGCCAGGGGGGAGGGGTCGGGGTCTGATGTTGCGTGTGGTTAAGGGCTAGTGAGTCAAGGGCTGTTGAGGAGCGCATTGTTGTAGGCGGTCATAGCCAAGTCGGGGCAGGACAGGGGGGGATGTGTCATAGAGATGTTCAGCTGCAGAGTGGAGGGAGGCAGGGTTCAAGGTTGCGGAGGTTACGGCTGGTAGAAGTGTGACATTTGGAGGGGTAGGCGTTGGAGGACGAGGAGATAGAGAAGGTAATCAGGTTGTGGTCAGAGAGAGGGAAGGGGGGGTGTTAGTGAGGTTGTGGGGGAGCGCAGCGGTTGGAGAAGACAAAGATCAAGGATATTACCGTCGGAGTGGGTGGTGGATTGTATGCACTGTGCAAGTGCCCGAGGAAGGGTTAAGTGGAGGAGACGGGCTTGTGTCCGGGTTGTCGAGGTTGAAATCCCCAAGGATGATGGTGGGTAGCTCAGAGGAGAGGAAGAAGGGTAGCCAGGAGGAAAAGTCCAGGAAGCGGGATATGGATCCAGGAGGCCGGTATATCACAGCATTCTTCAGGGGGGTTGGGTAGAATAGTCGGACGCAGTAAGGAGGGAAAGGAGGGTGGGGGGGTGGGGGTTTTAGGGGCTGGATGATGGAGTGGTGGGGGTTTTTGGTTGTTGATACGGGCCTTGCCCGCTGGACTATCTCATCGATGTGCCTTCTGGTGGCTGGAGTTTAGGGGAGAAGGGGAGAGGGGATCAGGTGTGGATGGATGGTTTCCAGGGGCGCTTAAGTGGCGACAGTTGGGGTGCAGAGGGGTCTCTCGTGGTGGCAGTCAACAAGGGTTCAAGTTTTTAGGTCAAGTTGAGCTGGGGGTTGGTATGAGTGGAGGTGCTGAAGGCTCGGAGTCTGGAGGTGGAGTGGGCTAGGCGTTGGTCGGCGCAGTAGGGCCCCGGCCGAGTCGTCGGGGGTCTTGTGGGCCAGTGCGTGTGGATGCTGCGGGCCAGCGACTGAGGGTGCTAAGGGGTCCAGTGTCTGTGGAAGCAGTAGGGTGCGGCAATCGTAGGTGTTGTAGGGCCCGGCGTCAGTGGGTGCAGGAGGCCGCGTGGCAGGCTCGCCTCTGCCGGATTGGACGGGGCTGTGTGGTGGCAGGGGCAAAGCTGTGTGGTACACAATGAGGAGCAGGGAAGCAGATTTGGTAGTGGTGGCTTGCCCTCTTGGTGCCGGTTGGGGGTGGTTGCTGCTTCTCCTCGCACTGTGGCGGCTAAAAGTAGGGGAGGCGGTGGTGGAAGCTCCACTCTCACTGGTGCGGATGGCGGCGTCCTGGTTATGGCGTAGAGGCAGCGGTAGGCTGCAGGGAAACAGGGCACCCAGTACTCCTCCTGGGCGATGGCAGGACCTCCGGAGTGGCTGGCAAGGGTACCGGCGGGGGTGGTGGCGGTGTTTCCTCAGGAGCGGGGGTTGCGTCCCCTCTGGAGCTGAAATATATCCCCAGAGGTTAAGAGAAGAAGGGTGAGGAAAGTAACATGGGAGACAAAGTGGGAATCAGGCATGTAAGAGATGTGTTTCCCGGGGTGTTTGCTTGCCGTCTGTCAGCGTGCAGTAGAGTTTCTTGTTGTGTCTTCCTGCTGCTTAAGTTCTCCTGCTTTAGTTCAACTGCTGTGTTTAACTGCTTCGTCTTAGCACTCCATCAATGCAGCACTCACACAAAAGCAGCACCCCCATCAGAGACTGTGTGTCCCCCATCAGTGATCTCCCCCATGAGCTGATCTAAATTTATAGGGAGATGCTCAAATGAACATTCAACTCCACCCCAATTAGAAGCTGATAAGGATCACATGAATAGGGGGGGATGTTTCTCAAAGAACAGACTACAGTCATAAACCGGGTGCAGCTAGAGGTGAACTGGTCAACGTATGCACAAATAAAAATACACCATTTGTTCTGAATTTAACAGGAATCAATGCGTTTACCTAGTTAAGAGTGGAGATAGGAGCATTTACCCAGAGAAAACCTTACATTTTACAGATGATATTTTCTCTCATTCTCTTGGTTTAGGGTGAAGATCTGATAGATATAAAAGTTGAGGTGAAATCAGAAGAAGAAGAGGCGTATGTGAGGGATGATCAGCAGTCTATGGAGGAGGATGGAATAACGGGGACATTTATAGAGGAGGACACTCCTACAGAGATCAGCACAGGTGGGTCATGAACACTAAATCCATTCCTCCACCCATACTGCTCACTGATTGGTCCAGAGTAGGGCGGGGACTGGGTGATATCAGCCTGTAATCCCCTGGTCACTTTCCTGAGCTGTGTTCCCCATCTTGCCTGATGTGGGCGGAGTCCTGGTTTGGGGGAACCCATAAAGCTCCTGTCTAGTAATCTTCTTTGTCTTTGTATTTTAGTCCATGGCCGGGAGATGAGGAAAACCTCCGAGGATTGTCTCACTTTGTCTCCAGACTGGAAAGTAGAAGATGAGGACATCACACAGTATAGTCCAGGAGAAAACCCGGCTCCCTCCAATGTCCATCCGGCACCACCCAGTGTAGATGGACCATCGGATTCCTCGTATCCTGAGGAACCTCACACTGTGCAGGACCGGGCCAGCCTTCCAACAGGGAAGAAATTCTCCTGTACAGAGTGCGGGAAATGGTTCCCTTCTGAATTCCATCTTAATGTGCATAACAGATCTCACACGGGTGAAAAACCATATTTCTGTCCTGAGTGCGGGAAATGTTTTTCACAAAAGTCTAATTTTAAAACACATCAAAAGCTGCACACAGGCGAGAAGCCATATTCTTGTCCTGAGTGCGGGAAGTCTTTCCATTATAAATCCAAACTTAATGTTCATAAAAGATCTCACACGGGTGAGAAGCCACATTCTTGCCCTGAGTGCGAAAAATGTTTTTCAGCTAAGTCCACTCTTTACTCACATCAGAGATCTCACACAGAGGAGAAGCCGTATTCATATCCTGAGGGTGGGAGATGTTTTTCAGAGAAGTCCAGTCTTCACAAACATCTGAGATCTCACACGGGGGAGAATCTGTTTTCCTGTTTTTCACAGCAGTCCAGTCTTTGCAGACATCAGAGATCATACATGGGGAAGACACCATTTTCCTGTTCTGAGTGTGGGAAATGTTTTATACAAAAATTTGATCTTGCCAAACATCAGAGGTCTCACACAGGGGAAAAACCATACTCATGTCCTGAGTGCGGGAAATGTTTTTCAACTAAGTCCAGTCTTTATAATCATCATAGATTGCACAAGGGAAAGAAGCCATATTCCTGTTCTGAGTGTGGGAAATGTTTTGCACAAAAATCAAAACTTGTTGTACATCAGAGAACTCACACGGGGGAAAAGCCATATTCCTGTCCTGAGTGTGGGAAATGTTTTTCAGGCAAGTCTAGTCTTTACAGACATCAGAGATTTCACACGGGGGAGAAGCCTCTTTCCTGTCCTGAGTGTGGGAAATGTTTTGTATACAAATCAGGACTTGTTATACATCAGAGATGTCACACAGGGGAAAAGCCGTATTCCTGTCCTGAGTGCAGGAAATGTTTTTCAACTAAGTCCAGTCTTTATAATCATCAGAGATTGCACAAGGGAAAGAAGCCATATACCTGTTCTGAGTGTGGGAAATGTTTTTCACAAAAATCAAAACTTGTAGTACATCAGAGACATCACACAGGGGAAAAGCCATATTCCTGTCCTGAGTGTGGGAAATGTTTTTCAGACAAGTCTAGTCTTTACAGACATCAGAGATCTCACACAGGGGAGAAGCCACTTTCCTGTCCTGAGTGTGGGAAATGTTTTTTATACAAATCAGGACTTGTTATACATCAGAGATGTCACACGGGGGGAAAAGCCATATTCCTGTCCTGAGTGTGGGAAATGTTTTTCAGTGAAGTCCAGTCTTTACAAACATCAGAGATCTCACATGAGGAAGAAGCCACGTTCCTGTCCTGAGTGAGGGAAATGTTCCTCTCTGAAGTCCTTTCTCCCTGTACATCAGGGGTCCCACACAACCCTGGAGGTGTATTAGTACCTTGAGTGCGGGAAATGTCTTCTAGATGAATGTTGCTGGACATCCCAGCTCTCATGTGGGGAAGAAGCACACCCTGATATACACCTCAGATATACTCCATGGCTGCAAAAGAAGTGGGTCACCTCCCTTGCCTAGAACTGACTTTCACATCAGGGAACATGGATGGGAAAGGTAGTTTTATATTAGATGCCTGTCCATGTTCACTGCTATAAAAGTCAGTTCTAGACAAGGGAGGTGACCCACTTCTTTCGCACAATGTAATGGAGGTCTGTGGGTGCACTGGAGACACTGGCTGCCATTGTGCTATATGCTGGGTGTTCTTTCTGCTCCTGTACCTTTAATGGGGGGTGGGCTCCCTTGGATCACCTGCACTTGATCTATCCATTAAATACATGTGCCTCTACTATGAGGACTCCAAATTTTGTAGAGTTAGGACCACAGATACTCAGGGTGCCGTGATGTGGCTCTGTGGCTTACGTACAGTTGCAAGAAAAAGTATGTGGAGATAATTTTGTAACCCTTTCCAGCTTCATGCAAGTCAACAATTCTTGATCGTAGGTCTTCTGAGAGCTCTTTTCTGCGAGGCATGGTTCACATCAGACAGTGCTTCTTGAAACCAGTAAACCCAAAACAGGTGTGTGTTTTTTAAGGGCAGGACAGCTGTCAGCAACACATCCAATATCATCACACTGATTGGAGTCAAGGTTGGCTCACTCCTGGCTCCAATTAGCTCTGGGAGAAGTCATTAAGCTAGGGCCTCACATACTTTTTCCTCCCTGCACTGTGAATGTTTACATGTTATGTGCAATTAAACCATAGCAACATCTAATGTTTGTGTAGTATTATGTTCAGCAGACTGTGTTCTTCTATTGTTGTGACTTAGATGACGTTCAGAACACATTTTATGCCCAATTCATGCAAAACTCCACGTAATCCCAAGGGGTTCACATACTTTTTCTTGCAACTGTATGTATTTACAAATGTGTGCTAACTAAACCCGTTTTTAAACCCATATTGTTAGAACAGGTTAATTTGGTTGTTGGCTGGCACATTGAACTGGCTTTCTTATCACCCTCTTTGGTAATTTATACCTATCCATGTTGTGTTATAGCCATTATTAGACTGGGGCTGGCTGACAAGTTGAACTGGATAGCCTTGGTAGTTTATACTCCATGGCTGATCTTCATCATGGAAGAAACAGTTGATAAGGAGATCAGAGGTCCCCAAAGACATGGAGGAAGTGTGGGACCGGGTTGGCTATTGATAGCAGGAGAAGAATAAAAATGGAGTCAATGTTCCAGCGTAAGCTCTCACAAACCTTTGGAGGTCTGATGGAGGTGTGCAAGTGTGAGATCCTGCCACTGTGACAATGACACAGGGTCCTCCTGGCTTTTTTTCCCGAAGCTCCAACATGTATTTTATGAGAAGAGAAAACTGTGTTCTAGGTTTCCAATGGATTTGGTAGTTCCGGGTCAGGACCTGGAGCTTGAAGGTTCCAGAGATTCTTGGTGGGGACAAGACCTTCAGTCCCATGTCCAGGATTTGCTAGATGCCTGCAGCCTGTGTGAGTACATAGGTGGGCAGGATCGTTATAGGCCAGGTCTTCTGCCATTTGGAGACAGGACCCTGTCAGGAGAGCTGGGGGTTCCTGATGGAGACTGCATCCCTTGTGAGGTGGGATTCCTTGTCCAAGGACTGGGAAAGTCAGGACAGCTCCAAGAGTCTGGGGGACCTGAAGTGGCTTGTGAGTCCAGGGGGGTGGACAGAGTCCAGAAGTCAATGGAGGAGTGATCAAGCTTGAGGGGGGCTGGGGAACCCTATGTAGAGTCCAGGAGTGGACCTGTGTAGTGAGGTGCTGTAACCAAGGCTGAGTAATCCTGAAGAAGTCCTAGTCTGGGGGACCAGTGTAAAGATCAGTGGTGCTGCTGAAGTGTAGCCAGGTGAGCTAGCATTTTCAGTTATCTGATGTATTGACAAAGCTGGACAATCCCCTGCGTGGGAAACCTTATGGTGTAAAGACTTTCATTTTCCTTCTTAATAAAAGTGGGCTGCCGTGCCGATAAACCACAAGTCTTGACTGACGTGGACTCATTTACAAACATCTACCACAGGAGCTAACAAACCCCCATATCACAGAGGGATTTCAGGAAAATACTGCATTGAGGCCACTAGATGGAGCTGACCATCATAGGAAATCATTGTGTAAAATAAATGATGGCCAGAATGTATCTCGGCGGGGCAAATGCTCCTCACATTTGTCCAACTAACTTTCACTTGCAGTAAGTTTTTATTATTAAAGTTTTGTAGGATACATTGTGCAACTCGTACAAATGTTCAGAAGTAACCAACCCATGAAAACAATTCCAGAGTGCATCCGTAAATCATACAAGAGAATACAAGTGATGGATATAAAGATCAATGAGCGCGGCCTGTTACAAGATCGCGTTTACAGTAACCATACACATTGTAAGAATGGCAACAAGAGGATAATTAGGGAAGGAGAAGAGAATAAAATGAGGGGGAGGGGAAATCTTGAGTTAGCCATAATTTGGGAGACACTCTTGGACTGGGTGTGAGAGTTGGGTCCTGCACAGAGGATAGGCAAGATACCCAGTGTAGCAATATGTTATATGCTGTGTATGGCCTCTAGGGGTCTCACTACTTAGATACTGGTACAACTGTGTTATTGCCTCTCTTTGGTTGTAGTTCTAGGGCAGACACATGTATAATGGCAGCTAGAAGCACCTAATATAAAATGTCTCCTGTTAACTACAGTGTGTGAGCATCTGAGCAGGATCCACTAACAGAACATGGTGGCAGCTGGGCACTGAACCTCTGAATAGCAAGTCTTCTGTCTACAAATACAGATTGTGTGACACTGGAACTGTACAGAGAATCAGCAACTGTAAGTACAGAGTCCCTATCAGACTGCACTATGGAGAGTGGCCTGAAACCCCCTCAGAGACTGGATGTCACTTCTTCCAATCTCTCACAGACATGGAGACACTGGAAGGAAGAGTTTACTCTGTATGTGGACCTGACAGTGGCACCCAGAGATGAGCAGAGGGAAGTAAAGCTGTTTTATTACTTGATTGTGGAAAAAGGCAGAGAACTAGCCGAGACCCTGCTCACAGACAGCATGGCACTGACAGACATACTGCAAGCATTTGATAAGCACTGTGACCCCAAAAAGAATGAGACGGTGGAGAGATACAAGTTCTTCTCAAGGAATCAGGAGATTGGGGACAGTGTGGACAGATATGTGACAGAGCTGAGGAGACTGGCTGCAACCTGTGGATTTGGGGACATCAGGGACTCCCTTATCCGAGACAGGATAGTGTGTGGCATCAGAGACTCTCACCTCAGAGAAAGATTACTGAGGGAGGAAGAGCTGGCGCTGGAGAAATGTATACAAATCTGCAGGGCTGCAGAGCTGACTAAAGACAGGCTGAAGATGATGGAGGGCACCAGTGATGCCTCAGTACATGCAGTATCTGTGAAAGGCAGAGCAAGGTCCAGGCTCCCTGTGAGCTCAGTCCAGTGTAAATACTGTGGCAAAAGACATGAAAGAGACAAAGAGAAATGTCCAGCGTATGGGGAGTCCTGCAGGACTTGTGGCAAGATGAACCACTTTTCAGCTGTGTGCAGATTCAAAACCAGCAAACAGTACAGACAAGTCCACACAGTGACCCAGGACACAGACGAGGACAGCAAAGTGACCCAGGACACAGACGAGGACAGCACAGTGACCCAGGACACAGACGAGGACAGCACAGAGGGCATCACATGGCTGCAGCTGCAGTCTGCAACAGAGAACGTCAATGTAGTCAAACAGCCAGTAGCCAATGATGCAAAGCAGCTCTTTGCCATATTTATGGTGGATGAACAGCCCATAAGATTTCAGCTGGATTGTGGAGCAAGTTGCAATGTCATTCCATTTACTCTGCTTAACAAACAGGTTCCCATTGAGCCCACTGATAAGGTACTGGCCATGTACAACAAAAGTGTTCTGAAACCCATGGGAACATGCAAGCTAAAATTAAGAAATCCACGTAACAGAAAGAGCTACAGAGTGGAGTTTACTGTGTTGCAGGAGGACGATCACATTCCTTTGCTGGGAGTTAAAGCAGTTCAGGCTATGGACTTAATAAAGGTGCAGTCCCATAACATCATGGCTCTGGAAGTTTCTGACAATACTCAAAATCCTAAACAAAAGGCAGAATACATTTTGGATTTTCACCACATAAAAACAGAGTATGCTGATTTATTTGAAGGTGATGGGTGCCTGGAAGGTAAATACAAACTGGTACAACCGTGTTATTGCCTCTCTTTGGTTGTAGTTCTAGGGCAGACACATGTATAATGGCAGCTAGAAGCACCTAATAAAATGTCTCCTGTTAACTACAGTGTGTGAGCATCTGAGCAGGATCCACTAACAGAACACCCAGTAACCAAGGCCTCCCAGGTCAGGGGTTGAGAGAAAAGGAAGAGGGAAGGAAATAGAACAAGGTGGTAAGATGAAGAACAGATGGAAGACATTGGAGACCCCCTTACCAGAAACCTGGGACCTTAATGCCTATAGTAGTGTGTAGCTGTCAGGGGACATGGAGGGGTGAGTGTAA